TATATTGCTGGATATTCTACAATACTCAAATCAAACCAAAAATGAGGTATTGCTATGATATGTGAGCAGATGATGCTTAATGTTCATTTTGTCACCTTGATAGGGTTCAAAATAATGTATGTAGTCTTGATGACTTATTTTCCACCTTACAACCTTTACAGTTGCAATTATCTATTGCTACTTTCTTGGAAAATGTTCAGATAAGCTGCATTCTTTATTCTTCACCAGTTCAATTACAAGTAGGACGAATCATGCTGCTACCAGAGAATCGAATCACTCTCATTTCCTCCGTATTCCAAATATTAGAAGATGTATTTCTATTACTTTGTGGAAGAGACTTACGCGCTGATGTTTCCCTGAACACTACACACTTAATCACTTTAAGTCAAAGGTCAATAGTTATCTGTTTTCATATCCTCATGATATACATTACCCACTATCACCACTTTCATTCATATCGCACGCTTCATTCATGATAATCATATTAATAGAAACATCTACACTGAGTGGCTCTCGAGCTTTTATTTAATGAATTTAAGTTTATAAAACTATATAAGAAAGCTTGAAGAAAGAGAAAAATTGCAAAATAAATAAAACAGAAAATCAGAAGAAATAACGATCCTGATTTTGATATCCAATCTCTAATGCTATGGTTATAAAAAGTAGTTGTTTAGATAAGTGCCTTAATCGCAAGGTTATCTACAGTAAATTTGCGCACTGGCTCTTGCAACATTACACCATTCCTTGCAAATCATCTAATATCACAGTGTGGAATATCTACTTACAGAATTGATGGAAAGAAAAACAACTCTAAATGAATTCGGCTGATGAAAAAAAAAAAATCTAAAATTCCCAGCATCCCTCGTTTGTGCTAGTGTGTAGTCCTACCAACATAACAAATTTAGTCCGATGAAGTCCTGAAGGACGAAATGCGTCACAAGTAAACTTTTTCCACTTTGTCATACAATTTCCCCGATATATATATATATATATATATATATATATATATATATATATACACTTATATATATATATATATATATATATATATATATATATATATAATGAAAGAGTTTATAGTTGTTCCAACAAGAGAAAAGTGTATATAGTAAAAAGAAGAGAGAAACCGCAAAAGTTTTTGCTTGTAATGTGGATTTATAAAATATATATTATGCTTTATTTTCCATATTCAACTTTATAACATGCACGTTATAAAATCACTACGAAAGTTGCATTCATTCTTATAATTTACAGTTGAAAAAACAGTTTTTAACTACTTCTTTATCCAAATTATACGTTCCTCATTCTTATGTTTACTTAAAACTTATAGTTTGATTGATGTCACATATTTTAATTTTCTAAAATACTTTTTCTATATTGGTATCTCCATTTTCTTCAGATATTTTCTCACTAGTCAATACCATTTTTTTTGCTTGTAAGGAACTATTAGAAAATTAGATAGATAGAATTAATATAAGTAATAGTTCATTAATTAGTTGATAGTTTTGTAGAACCCGTACGTCCACTCTTCAGTGGCTAGATAGATAGATGCTGCAAGTGATCAAGATGGATAGATACATATTCATTTAAGTGCCATTCGTGATACCCATTTGGATGTTCATATCTTTCGATCCATGACAGATATATACAGATATATATTCCCGCATTAGGTTGCCATTTCTTTATGCGGTAGACTGTTTGTCAACCAAGGCTATAGAACCCAGTTTGTCCTGTTATTCAACCCATAGTTGGGGGAGAAGAGATGGATTCATAGCTTTTCCAAGGATATTTGAGCCTAAGTAAATGTAACGGACCCAACTCGAACTCGCTTCTCCGATTTCTCATTCCATGCTCATATCCATTACACCACAATAATAATTTTATTTATTTTTAAGTATATACACTATACACATACAAGAATACGCACACACAGATATACACAACATAATACATCTTTTTACAAACACTCCACCTCTTCCGTACAGAAAGGACGCTCGTCTACGCTTATTAGTGTTACATTTTATATATTGCCAGGCCCCTCCTTCTTTGAAGAATTCTAATTGATGTCCACACCTACTAGAACCGAGGAAAACAGAAGCCATAGGGAACTTATATATATATATGTGAGTTTAAGTATACTTAAGTGATAGAATATGTGAATGCTTAAGAGACATCTTGTTAACTCAAGATAATTAGCTACGCAGGGAACATCATTTTACCACACACATAAACACATCAATACACACGCACATACGGGTCCACATTTGACCGCGCGCGGACACACACACACACACACACACACACACACACACACACACACACACACACATATATATATATATATATATACAACGGGTGTAACAGCAAATTATTCAAATCGTTTAACAGTATAATTGTTCATCCCACAAAATGTTTAATATCTAAAAAACGCTAAACTAATTGAGTTTCTTTTTTCAGAGTTTCAGATAACACGTTTAGCCATCTTGATACAATTTGTCGTAAGAATCACAGAAAAACCCTTTGAGTTATTGAGCTAGAAAGGGAACAGATTAAATTGTTTTGTGTCATCCCAACTATCTTATCAAGTGAGCAATGGTGAGAAGAAAAAGAACATTCAGGCCTAAAGTAATGGTACGAACATTCGTACTCTGGCTTCCATCTTCAAAGTCCATTCAAGAACCATCAAGAGAACGGTAAATAAGTTTAAAAAGAAGGAACATTGGAGAGGAAAACAAAACAACAGGAAGAGGAATCATCATTTTAACTTAGAGCTAAGAAGATCAATTAGAAAAGTTCCAACTCAACCCATAAGATATTTGGCATGTGTGAGAGAAGAGTTCCAGCTATGAAAGTCTAAAGAGTAGTAAAAAAATCTTGAAAATGAAATCGTACGTGAAACCACCTGTGAGGCACTTTGTTACTCCAAGTTAGAAGGCGTAGATAATTTTGAATATGTTGTAAAATGATCCTAGAATAATATATATATATATATATATATATATATATATTTGAAGTGCATTTAAATCATTCATGAACTTCCGATCCTTACCTATGATTAATTAAGGATGAACATGTTATTTTCGTTTATGACCGATTTCATCACGATTCTTCCGTTAAGATGGAAAGTAATTATACATTCTTCTTGTTTAAAGTAGAATCCAATAGTGTTATAAAACCTTTTTTGTGACTAACCCTGCAGTGGCCGGCTACAGATCCTGGATGTCGATGCCCTGAAGAAGGCTATAGAGAAGAACAACAGCCAAATCTGTACTGAGTTTGCTGAATGCTTCCAGGTTTCTGATGAAATGGTCATACTTAATCTACACCGTAAAGGGAAGGCGTACAAGTTGAGCAAGTGGGTACTTCACACGCTGTCGGAAACCAAAAAGCAACAACGAGTGACAGCCTATTTCTCGCTGATTTTTTCCGCAACGCAACGTACCCATATTTGATCGAATGCTCACAAGTGACGAAATGTGGGTCCTGTATAACACTCCCAAGCGTGCCAGATATTAGTAGTCACCATGGGATCCTGTTCGTCATACCATATGACCATCTCTACAACCACCCAGGACAATGATCTGTATCTGGTGGACAAATCAACAAGAAGTGCACTATGAATTACTACCAACAGTCCAAACCATCATTGCGGACCTGTACGCGCAGCAGATACTGAAGCAAAAGAAGTTAGCATTGGTTAATCGCAAGGATGTACTGTTCCTCCGTCATAATGACAGGCCTCATGTGGCGCGGATACCAGACGGAGACTTGGCTGTGATATCCACCTTCTTCCCAGATTATGCACCAACAGATTACCACCTCTTCCACTTCCTGGACAACCACCTTCGTGGGTAAACTTTCGCAAATGAGGCAAATTTGTGGAGGGCACTCACTGATTCCAAGCCACTTGATTTTTAACACCAGGGAATTGCGCAGCTGGGAAAACGTTGGAAAAAGTTTCTGGATGCTGATGGGGATTACTTGAGGACCTACGATATGTCAAATTTGTTGTATAACTTTTTTTCTAATAAATCAAAAACGGCAAGGAATTTTTTGTTACCTTGTATATGTGTACACACTCACACCCACACACACATATATCTGTATACAATTTTTATATGCAAGTTTGTGATCTACTTTTTCTATTCACACATTGTATGGGCAAACAAACTCATGCATACAGCTTGCACGAAGAACAGTAATATCTATCTATCTATCTATATCATTCTTTTCATATCTATCTATCTATCTATCTATCTATCTATCTATCTATCTATCTATCTATCTATCTCATTCTTTTCATATCTATCTATCTATCTATCTATCTATCTATCTATCTATCTATCTATCTATCTATCTCACTATCTACCTATCTCATTATTTTCATATCTATCTATCTATCTATCTATCTATCTATCTATCTATCTATCTATCTATCTATCTATCTATCTCATTCTTTATCTATCTATCTATCTATCTATCTATCTATCTATTTATCTATCTATCTCATTCTTTTCATATCTATCTATCTATCTATCTCATTCTTTTCATATCTATCTATCTATCTATCTATACATACATACATACATATATATATACACACAGACACACACATATATATATATATATATATATATATATATATATATATATGTGTGTGTGTGTGTGTATGTGTGTATAGGCTAAAAATTTATATATAAAAGCAGTCTTTACCTGCATGAAGGCATACATATAAAATACGTAGTACCATATGACTACCAAAAGAGATTCATTTAAAAATGATCAAGATGAGTTATATACAAACCAATATCTGTTGAGATAAATGAGTATTCATAACCGCTGAAGAATACACAACCGATAATAATTTTACCCAAATGCATGAGGTTATTTTTTTTTGTGTGTTGTTTAAATCTTTTGCCCTTGGCTGGTGGGATCAAAAAATAAACCCCTTGTAAATATTTTCAATCGGCAGCAGAACAATCTTCATTCATATAAAGGGCTTACTGAATATTAGGAAGGAATATTATTTCTTCGGCGTTCTTAAGTAGAATAAGGTCATTAATCCCCCTAAAACGTTATCTTCTGGCCTTCAGCAATGTCTCAAATTTGCTGATTGAAATCTTTTGTTTGCTCTTATGAGCATCTACAATGTATTCGTTAGTCATACATTATTCGGTGTTTAGATAGATTAACAGATAAGAATACAGCGAGAAAATTTGATGCGTAAAGACTGAGTTTGATAAGAAAATATACGGTTTGATAAATGCATCGCGGCACAGACTGAGATAGATAGATAGATAGATAGATAGATAGATAGATAGATAGATAGATAGATAGATAGATACGAATACGCTGAATAAGATAAATATGAACAGACTGAAATATATAGATTGATTGAATTGAACAGATTGAAATATATAGATAGATATGAACAGACAAGAATATATAGATAGATAAGAACCCAGAGAGAGAGACAGAGAGAGAGAGACATACAGACAGAGAGAGAGAGAGAGAGAGAAGAGAGAGAAAAAGAAAGAAAGAGAGAGAGGTAGATAGATTGTAATAGATATGAATAGGCCGAGAGATAGGTATAAACAGATTGAGATAGATAGATCTGAACAGACTGAGATATATAGATTGATCTGAATAGTTTTGCCTTAAAAGTATTCTATAAATTATGTCACCATTTTAGAAACTGCCACTTTCTTTCATTTTATAAGTTAAATTTTATCAAAATGAAGGTAGATTCATTTAAAGTAGATCAATCAACACAGAGAATTTCCGAAGAAATACTCTGCATTCAGGTTTAATGAATTATTAGAATACATTTTGATTTAATTGTAAATAATATAAGTAGTGCAGCTACTGACGGATAAAGACTGTTAATATTAATAATGCATACATTTTTAAAGGCAATCCGGGTTTTAAACATTTGTATGCTTACCTCAGTGAGGAACGTTGAAATCTTATCAAAATTTCATCTTAAATCATTTATACCATTTTGTAAAGACTGATTTATTTTTAGATAACTTATCTATGTTGCTCATCCTTTCTATTTTTCGCACTTTTTATTTGTCATTCCTATTTACTCTGACTACAAATGTGTCTACTTTTGGGAACCTGTAGTTTTTTTTCATTCCTCGGCCTTGTTGTCACTTTTTCATCATCTCTAGAATTTCACTTATCATCCATTCTTTCTTTTTTTGTATTGTTTTCATAGGAACGATCTCATTCACCGATGTCACAAGTGCTTCTCTTAATGCGTTCCACTTTGAATTTGTAATTTTGCTAGAGATATATCTGTTTTTGATTCTGTTTATATACATCTTGCAATATGAGTCTGTCGTATTACAGTTTGGTCTTATTCCGTTTCTGTAATTTTACTTTAACGTATCATGAATACCTATATATCTCGATAGAGTCCAAAAGCATATATGGCGACCTTCTTGGGATATGAATTATTTCCCACCCTGCAACCCCTTTCCCACAGACGAAATTTCGAAAGCCTCTCGTTGCTTTAAGCTATTTCCATGGAAATTGATCAGACGAAATACACTCCTTAATTCAACCAGTTATAACCTTGACTGCCAAGATATATGTAGCGAACCACCCTCATTCCCTTTGTATTCCATTGGTGAGATGTAAGATCCACTCGTGCAGTTTCTTCCTATGAACCGCTGGATTGTGATACCGACCCCCAAGAGGATGCTTCCCCGATCACTACAATCGTAACCTGTTCAAGTCTAGGGTCAGACGTTATCTTCGCCCATATCCCCATAAACTAAATATCTTATTCTGTAATCCTCCACATTGGGTGGCTCTTGGGCCTTGTACAGGGTGAACATCATTGTAAAAATAAAAAAAATGTCCACTCCCGTCGTCGGCTCTTCGGCATGTTTTACATTGTAAATGCACGTCTGAACCTAAAATTATTTACTTTGTTTTATTCATATCTAGTCGTCAAAAGGTTGCGATGTAGAATCGAACTGATGACAAAAATCATTCTGAACGGTTCAGGTAGTCGAATACATATATTCCCGTTTAGTAAAGCGTTTAGAATGTCATAATACCGAGTAGTTAAGTAAAAATCAATTAATACGATACATTCTGCTCAGGGATATCTCGTATTAATCGTGGACTGAATAAGGGATTCAGTTCGAATATTCGAGATCGTTGTCGAATACAAAGGGGCAAATGGTAAAATTAATGCTATAACACCCAAGACAAGGACAATAATTAAAATAAATCAGTATATAATAATAAAAATTCCTCGTATCTGAAGCTAAATTACAATTTAACGTAATTGTGTTACACAGAAAATATTTATAGACTACTGGTTAGAATATTAACATACTGATGCTCTCCGTCTAATTTTTGGGACGGTGGACATGAAGAAGTTATACTATAATTAAAAGCGGATTAAAAAAAAATAAAACTATAATTACTACCGGAATGTTTTTAGAAATCTATATTACCGGGTTTTTATTTTAAATTTTATAATTAATACTGCATTTTAGGACGAGCAATATCTGAGTATATTTTTTGATGCTCTGCGATTAGTTAATGTTGGAGAGCATTATAAATATACTCAAATTTAGTAATGTGTTCAATCGTTTTTGTGCTCTTGTAATATATTAAGCTAAGCTTAGCAAAAATCAATGACACTAAATGAGAATAGTAGAAAAACAATTCTTGTAGAACATTGCTCGTATGGTAAGTGCCCCACTGTTATCAAACTAATTTAACAATAGTAAGTATCTATATGCATACACTTAAGTAGATATGGGTACCTGCTTATACCAAATAGTTATCAAGCTATTCTGACCTGACCAGTTTCGTTGTTTTCACATTAGTCAGTTTTCACTAAGATCTCGTAACAACGAATCTATTTAATAATTCAGTTCCCTCCTCACTATTCTAGGTGATTTTGATAATATTGACACCTGAACGGTAATTAGTTTGCAAGTCTCTTAAGGATTGTTTCAAGAACTTAATAATTGGCATGAGGCACTGTCTGCTTTAATTCTCTGATAAAATCTGGCAATATTTCTTCTTGTTTACAATGTCAAGATCTGGATTTCTGACCTGAAGTGATCAATCTGAATTTCCAAATCCCATAAAATTTTATGATTTTATTATCTGGGAGAATGCACCATTGTTTTACATATAGTTTGATTCCAATCATTTGTACACCTTCTAGCGGATCACTTTCCCCACCATTTGCAATAGCTTGGCGCATTCATGTATATATATATATATATATATATATATATATATATATATATATATATATATATATCTATAAATAATAGGAAAATTGTAATTTCAGTTAACAGTATGAAAATAGCGTTGTCTAAATTCTTCCAGTTGCTAAGGACATTTTGTTTTTGTTATTATTAGTTACTTTGTTTAAATAAATTCATTTCGTTCCGCCTTGAATAAGTCAACATCGAACGAAACGCGTCGGCAACTATTAAAGTTTTCTTATTGTCTTTTACATTTATAAATATTGTCTTTTTCTACAGATTAACTCTGAGAAATTTTTCATATATATATATATATATATATATATATATATATATTGGTTGTATGTGGGCAACAATTATTCTTATATGCAGGTTTGACTGAAGCTCAGCGAAATTTATTTTTCTAAAATTTTAACAGAATTGTTCTACGGTTCATTCAATATTTCTGGTTTCCCGGAAAAATTATAGCATACACCTTGCCATGTCTTTCGATACATGAAGGCGAATTTTCAACCATCAACACATGAAGATATGAAACTTGAAAAAGGTGACATGACATCCACCGTTACAAGAAGACGTGACACACGAAAAATTACAAAGAAGACACAATGCTTCCATATAGATACAACACTATCGTCACAAAAATAAAACTTCTTGATAATAATTCATGAAAGCCGTTGAAAATTTAATTTCGAGTCCTCCTCGGAAACCAGAAAAGTTATCTCAACCGAAAAAAATAAATGAATAATCTTAAGCCAAGAATCAACGAAAATACTCTCTAAAAATAATCAATGTACCTATAAAGGAAACACTTCTTTACACACTAAAATAGTCTTTTAGTTTACAAAAACATAGCCCATAAATGCCCATGGTATTTCATTTTAATCCTAATGCAAACTAATTTCCTTTAAAGAGACTTAAACTAGATTCCCTAATTAATAACGCATTCAGTGAATGTCCACTTAGCACAAGACGTCAACCACTTAGTTTACTATCATTAATAACATTTTTCAAACAGAGAGAAATGACAAAATGTTGTCCGTGGCATTTATACATGTAATAAACCATGATACTAGATACGTTAGCACATTGTGAACGATATAACTTACATTCCTCCAGGTACAGAAGTTAAAATATGCCACCTCACATTACTAGTTACAGCTTGAACATAGTCTAACTGATTACTTGCAATGTTTACTCTGGATTTTGTATCTGATCCAAAAATCAGAAAATGACAATTAGAGACAATTCTAATTATTCGATTATATCGCTTTTCAAGTTACAGTATAGTTAAAGTCAGATGCATCCTTTTTCTCAGAACGGCCTAAAGCAGAAAAACTGAAGCAATTTCATTATCAAACATAATACCGACAGTTTAGGATTAAATAAAGACCTAGAAATTTTCAATGATTATACTGAACAAAATGAAAATTGAAATAGTTCCAGTTTTTTGTTGTAACAGCAGGACAAAACATGTATGTGTACATACTCATATATTCCTCTATGTATCTATTTAATTATCTTATTTTTATTTCCACAGTGCCTACATTTTGTGTTTTCTTGCATTTTATCTATATTGGCCTTTAAAAATGCATCACCTCAAGGAAGGTAATCTGCCGGTCTCCGTGTACAAGAGGTTAAAAATTAGTGTGAAACCACATAACAACAAGGAGAGTATTATTGATGTAAATAAAACATAATTACTATACCTGATAAGCATCACTTCACTTAACATCCGAATTTCTGCAAAGAGGAAGTATATATTTACTACTTTGCCCTGCCCCAGGTTTCGGTGGATGACATAATAAGGGATTGTACTGAATAGAAAGCAAAATAATAATAATAATAATAATAATAATAATGGAAGAAAACTTGAAGAAAACTGAAAGAAACTGGTATGAACACCACCCAGACCCGGTTACGGAGATAGGACCAGTTACAATTCTATGGGACTACACAATACACACTGACAGAACAATCAATGCCAACCGCCCGGATATTGTTATTAAAGACTACAAACAAAAACGGTGCCCTCTTATTGATATGGCAGTCCCTGCTGACTGCAATGTATCTTTGAAGATATTCAAAAAGCTGTCAAAATACAAGGACCTTAAAATAGAAATCTCGAAAATGTGGCATATGGGAACATCAACAATCCCTGTTGTAGTTGGAGCCCTAGGACTGGTTGGAAAAGATTCCAGTAGACTAATTGAAGGGATTCCTGGAAGTCCTTGCCTCAAGGAGATACAAAAAATTGTTCTGACAAGTACAGTCCACATTTTACGAAGGGCTTTATCTATGTAATTTTTTTTGTCAGTGGAAAGTGTCATGATGCCATTTCTAACTTTAGGTCCCTGGGCGGGACCCAGAAAGAAATATGTAAACGCCAGAAATCAAAGAAAATAAAAATAATGATAATAATAATAATAATTGGTATGAATCCAGATCCGTTTACGGAGATAGTATCTTTAACAATTGTATGGGACTTCATATACACATAGACAGGACAATCAAAGCTAATCACCTAGACATCGTTATTAGAGATCGCAAAAAAAAAATGCTTCCTTATTGATATGGCAGTCTCTGCAGACTGTTATGTCTCTTCGAAGATCTTCAAAAAGCTATCAAAATACAAGGACCTTGAAATCGAAATCTCAAAAATGTTGCACATGCGAACACTAAGAATTCCTGTTGTAGCTGGGGCTTTCGGATTGGTTGGAAAAGATTCCAAAAGAAATCTGAAGAAATACGAAAAATTGTCCTCACGAGTACAGCGCACACCTTACGAAGGGCTTTATCTGTGTTAAATATGTGTATGTAGGTTTTTAAATTTCTCAGCGAAAAATGTCATGATGCCATTTGTGACCTTAGGTCTCTGGTCAGGACCTGGAAAGAAATGTATACACACCAGAAAGCAAATAAAATAAAATAATAATAATGTTAAAAGCCAAAGACTGTACAACAACAAAGATAAGGGTGAACATAAAATGCAAGAAACGCAAAGACGAGAAGAAAAAACGAGAAGAAAAACAGTTTTATGGATGCTTCTGAAGAGAAATCGATTGAATGGCAGATAAATCGCCGTGGGCATAGCTACGTAGATGAATCTGGAGAGATAAATAGAATGCCTCTTAACAGCAGCACAAAACAACATCATAGCAACCAAGTATATAAATACCAATATAGATAAAATACAAAAGAACCAAAAAATTAGGTGATATGGAAATGAAGATGAGATAACCAACCACTTAATAAACGAATAACTGAAATTAAGACATAAAGAATGCAAGAATAGCCATGCCTGAGTGGGAAAGGTATTCCACTGGATACTCTAGAAGCGACCACATTTTGACTATATGACTAACCAATGGTTTATATATGTAGTGTAGAGAGCAGAAACAGAACTAAACAATTTTATGAGATTTTAAGATTGAAACAGATCAATCAATCCAGGTCAGAAGTACTGAATCGAGTTAACAAAAAAAAAAAAAAAAAAAAAAAAGAACTTGTCAGTGAATTTTGTTTTTTCTGGTAGACTACAGAATAGAGGTTTGAGGATCACAAAGATATATTTAGTACCAAGTGTGTTCAGGACGTAAACAATCACGACTCTCCACAGAATCACTTTCTTTATTACTTTTGAAATGCCATGCCATATTTGGGAAAGATAGTGGTATTGTTTTCTGTTGCTTTCTCCACGGTTGTGGAATTCAGAGTTTTCTTTCTCTTAGCCTTATTATTATCCAAGTGTAGAGAGTCTAATCAATAACTGTGAAAGTGGGTGAAGAAACGTATTTATGCATTTCACAAGGGTATTAGTGAAAAGTGTACGCAACAGATCAGCCTGGAATCGAAAGCTTGCCGATTGTACTTACTGTGCTGATATCCGTTATACTACCCACAATTCGTGTAGATCAGGGAATTAACTACATCACCTTAATTATAATAGGATTTACAGACAGGAAATACTCTCGTATGCCGATTAAATTGGTGAGGGAGCGTCTAATAACTAGTGGGTAGAAAATTCTTGCGAATTAGTTGTTTGGTGGTGTCGAAATAATTTGGTACCACTAGCACTTTTTGTTTTAATACATTTCGAGAGACGGTAGCGTGAAGTACAAAAACCTTTAAGTTGTATGGGTTGTAATAATTGGATATAGTTGAAAAGAATAAAATAAAATAGAAGTTGGCCCACTCCTGGCATTAATAAGTTGGGATGGGGGTCAACTTCGATTTTATCTTTTTTTAACGGAAGAATATTGATTCAGTGAATCCAAAATAGGAAGTTAAAAATGGGACGAAAAATGACTCCTTGTACACTTCAAGAAGGATAACTGCACATCTTTAGTTACGAAAAGGAAAATTGGAGAGAAAATCTATTTGTAGTTGTATTAAACTGTTTCCTTAAAAGTAATCTATATTAAGACTAAGTAGAGAAGAATAAAATTTGTGCGATGGTGGATATCACTGTTCTAACGGAGAGCAAAGTAGAATTTAAAGTAAAGATCTGAAAAAAAGTAAAATGAAAAAAGGAAAAGAAAAAGATGAAATCTTGGATAGAGATTGAAGAAATTCTGAAATATGAAAGTGACAGTTGTACGTCGAAGATACTTGCAAAGAAATAGGAAACATTAGAAATCTGAGATGGGATGAAAATCGTCAACATGACTAAAATCAAAACATACCAGTATGACTAAAATCATTAATAATAGTGAACAGGGTGCTGGAGTGTTAAATATACTTTGCTAATATGATATCTATTGAAAATCGTCAACAACTATTAATATGCATAAATAAAAATGAGAAAATCTAATTAACATGACCATTAAAATCAGATAGAATATCAATGAGACTGCTGATATATTTAAGAAACGTACTATGAGAGCCACTAATGAAATGAAAACCTTATTAATACTAATAAGAATAGTAGTTAGCAAATATTGATTCTGAATTAAAGTTCTTTACTTACTCGAAAATATTTTGAGGACATTTTTTAAGTGAAATTTTAAATTTATTTTAAATGCTGGAAATAAATTGAATTAAGAAAAAAAACAACCTTTTTATTTTCTATCCAACTTAAGACAAATAAAAAAAAACAGAATCTAAGAAAAAAGACAGTTAAGTAGTTTTGGCAAGGAAAGCAAGATATAGATAGATGAATAGATGGAAAGAAGGTGAGATAAACATAAATAAAGAGGGAAAAGAAGAAAAGAGAAAGAGAAGTATTTGGAATATGTGGGTAAAGAAGTAAATTTTTTTAAAAATTTAAGTTACATGTGAACACCTAAAAATTCTGTCGCATTAGGAAACTTATACTTAACACTAAGAAGAAGTAGTTGAAATTTCTGGTTCACGCAATGAGGAAGGAGAACATGGAAAATTTGATACTCACATGATAGATTGAGGGACAGATGGACGGGACGGAGGAAAACATTTCATAACATACTTGGTCAGATTGAGTAAATGGATGGTGGAACACGGTTTAAGACACAATTTATTAAGAGCTATAAGGGACACGAAGTTGTGGAGGGCTATAATCGCCTACGTCCTGGGAAGACACTGCACATAAACAAGAAGATATCCTTTATTTGTTGGTTTTGAGAGAAACCTTTTTTTGTTGATGTGTTTATAGAATGAGTTTCTAAAATGCAATTTAAAATTTTCTTCCTTAATGACTGAAGAAATTATTGTCTCCCTTACTTTTCTGTTAGGTTGATCCTACTAAATAAATTATTTACGAAAACTTAAACTAATTAAAAAAATATTGTAATTGTTTACATATGTGCGCATGTTTAATGAATATTAAAGTATGTTTATTTTTATACATCTATTTTAACAACTATGCATGAAATTGAGTAAATTTGGGGGATAAATATCGAAAGTCATCAATATTTTTTCTGTAATTATAATCCTGTATAATCAGTCAATTAACAATGAGTTTGGTGCAATCTTACTTCATCGTTTACCCTGGCAAATATATGGAGAGGAAATATACGTGCGGATCATGATGAAAATATACCCTTGATGGCAAACAAGAGGAAATTTTTCGTCCGCCCGTAATCATCATTCGCACTATTTTCAGACGTTATTCAATTATTTTTGGTCAGAAGAAAAAAAAAGACAGATCAGTTAATAATTTATTGTTATCTGAAAAATATGCCATCTGTTAGAGGTAAGAAAGAAATAAAAGATGGAGAAACATCCATCCTAATAAAAGAGGAAAAAAAGAAGATGCAGAAACATACATCCTAATAAAAGAAAAAAAAAGAAGATGCAGAAACATCGATCCTAATAAAAGAGGTAAAAAAGAAGATGCAGAAACATCCATCCTAATAAAAGAGGAAAAAAAGAAGATGCAGAAACATCGATCCTAATAAAAGAGGAAAAAAAGAAGATGTAGAAACATTCATCCTAATAAAAGAGGAAAAAAAGAAGATGTAGAAACATCCATCCTAATAAAAGAGGAAAAAAAGAAGATGCAGAAACATCCATCCTAATAAAAGAAAAAAAAAAAGATGCAGAAACATCCATCCTAATAAAAGAAAAAAGAAGATGCAGAAACATCCATCCTAATAAAAGAGGAAAAAGAAGATGCAGAAACATCCATCCTAATAAAAGAGGAAAAAGAAGATGCAGAAACATCTATCCTAATAAAGAGGAAAAAGAAGATGCAGAAACATCCATCCTGATAAAAGAGGAAAAAAAAGATGCAGAAACATCCATCCTAATAAAAAGAGGAAAAAAGATGTAGAAACATCCATCCTAATAAAGAGGAAAAAAGAAGATGTAGAAACATCCATCTTAATAAAAGAGGAAAAAAAAGAAGATGCAGAAACATCCATCCTAATAAAAGAAAAAAAAGAAGATGCAGAAACATCCATCCTAATAAAAGAAAAAAAGAAGATGCAGAAACATCCATCCTAATAAAAGAGGAAAAAAAGAAGATGCAGAAACATCCATCCTAATAAAAGAGGAAAAAAAGAAGATGCAGAAACATCTATCCTAATAAAAGAGGAAAAAAAGAAGATGCAGAAACATCCATCCTGATAAAAGAGGAAAAAAAGATGCAGAAACATCCATCCTAATAAAAGAGGAAAAAAAGATGTAGAAACATCCATCCTAATAAAAGAGGAAAAAAAGAAGATGCAGAAACATACATCCTAATAAAAGAAAAAAAAAGAAGATGCAGAAACATCCATCCTAATAAAAGAGGAAAAAAAGAAGATGCAGAAACATCGATCCTAATAAAAGAGGAAAAAAAAGAAGATGCAGAAACATCTATTCTAATAAAAGAGGAAAAAAAGAAGATGCAGAAACATCCATCCTGATAAAAGAGGAAAAAAAATATGCAGAAACATCCATCCTAATAAAAGAGGAAAAAAAGAAGATGTAGAAACATCCATCCTAATAAAAGAGGAAAAAAAGAAGATGCAGAAACATCCATCCTAATAAAAGAAAAAAAAGAAGATGCAGAAACATCCATCCTAATAAAAGAAAAAAAAGAAGATGCAGAAACATCCATCCTAATAAAAGAGGAAAAAAAGAAGATGCAGAAACATCCATCCTAATAAAAGAGGAAAAAAAGAAGATGCAGAAACATCCATCCTAATAAAAGAGGAAAAAAAGATGTAGAAACATCCATCCTAATAAAAGAGGAAAAAAAGTAGATGTAGAAACATCCATCTTAATAAACGAGGAAAAAAAGAAGATGCAGAAACATCAATTCCTAATAAAAGAAAAAAAAGAAGATGCAGAAACATCCATCCTAATAAAAGAAAAAAAAGAAGATGCAGAAACATCCATCCTAATAAAAGAGGAAAAAAAGAAGATGCAGAAACATCCATCCTAATAAAAGAGGAAAAAAAGAAGATGCAGAAACATCTATCCTAATAAAAGAGGAAAAAAAGAAGATGCAGAAACATCCATCCTGATAAAAGAGGAAAAAAAGATGCAGAAACATCCATCCTAATAAAAGAGGAAAAAAAGATGTAGAAACATACATACTAATAAAAGAGGAAAAAAAGAAGATGCAGAAACATCGATCCTAATAACAGAGGAAAAAAAGATGCAGAAACATCGATCCTAATAAAAGAGGAAAAAAAGAAGATGCAGAAATATCCATCCTAATAAAAGAGGAAAAAAAGAAGATGCAGAAACATCCATCCTAATAAAAGAGGAAAAAAAGAAGATGCAGAAACATCCATCCTAATAAAGGAAAAAAAAAAGAAGATGCAGAAACATTCATCCTAATAAAAGAGGAAAAAAAGAAGATGCAGAAACATCTATCCTAATAAAAGAGGAAAAAAAGAAGATGCAGAAACATCCATCCTAATAAAAGAGGAAAAAAAGAAGATGCAGAAACATCCATCCTAATAAAAGAGGAAAAAAAGAAGATGCAGAAACATCTATATAATAATAAAAGCGGAAAAAAGAAGATGCAGAAACATCCATCCTAATAAAAGTGGAAAAAAGAAGATGCAGAAACATCCATCCTGATAAAGAGGAAAAAAGATGCAGAAACATCCATCCTAATAAAAGAGGAAAAAGATGTAGAAACATCCATCCTAATAAAAGAGGAAAAAAAGAAGATGTAGAAACATCCATCCTAATAAAAGAGAAAAAAAGGAAGATGCAGAAACATCCATCCTAATAAAAGAAAAAAAAGAAGATGCAGAAACATCCATCCTAATAAAGAGGAAAAAAAGAGGAAAAAAGAAGATGCAGAAACATCTATCCTAATAAAAGAGGAAAAAAAGTAGATGCAGAAACATCTATCCTAATAAAAAGAGGAAAAAAAGTAGATGCAGAAACATCCATCCTGATAAAAGAGGAAAAAAAGATGCAGAAACATCCATCCTAATAAAAGAGGAAAAAAAGAAGATGCAGAAACATCGATCCTAATAAAAGAGGAAAAAAAGAAGATGCAGAAACATCCATCCTGATAAAAGAGGAAAAAAAGATGCAGAAACATCCATCCTAATAAAAGAGGAAAAAAAGATGTAGAAACATCCATCCTAATAAAAGAGGAAAAAAAGAAGATGTAGAAACATCCATCCTAATAAAAGAGGAAAAAAAGAAGATGCAGAAACATCCATCCTAATAAAAGAAAAAAAAAAAGATGCAGAAACATCCATCCTAATAAAAGAGGAAAAAAAGAAGATGCAGAAACATCCATCCTAATAAAAGAGGAAAAAAAGAAGATGCAGAAACATCCATCCTAATAAAAGAGGAAAAAAAGAAGATGCAGAAACATCCATCCTAATAAAAGAGGAAAAAAAGATGTAGAAACATCGATCCTAATAAAAGAGGAAAAAAAGAAGATGCAGAAACATCGGTCCTAATAAAAGAGGAAAAAAAGAAGATGCAGAAATATCCATCCTAATAAAAGAGGAAAAAAAAAGAAGATGCAGAAACTTCCATCCTAATAAAAAAAAAAAAAAGAAGATGCAGAAACATCCATCCTAATAAAAGAAGAAAAGAAGATGCAGAAACATCCATCCTAATAAAAGAGGAAAAAAGAAGATGCAGAAACATCCATCCTAATAAAAGAGGAAAAAAAAAGAAGATGCAGAAACATCTATCCTAATAAAAGCGGAAAAAAAAAAGAAGATGCAGAAACATCCATCCTAATAAAAGTGGAAAAAAGAAGATGCAGAAACATCCATCCTAATAAAAGAGGGAAAAAGAAGATGTAGAAACATCCATCCTAATAAAAGAGGAAAAAAGAAGATGCAGAAACATCCATCCTAATAAAAGAGGAAAAAAAGAAGATGCAGAAACATCCATCCTAATAAAAGAGGAAAAAAAGAAGATGCAGAAACATCCATCCTAATAAAAGAAAAAAAAAGAAGATGCAGAAACATCCATCCTAATAAAAGAAAAAAAAGAAGATGCAGAAACATCCATCCTAATAAAAGAAAAAAAAAACAAGATGCAGAAACATCCATCCTAATAAAAGAGGAATAATCCACAAAATTGAGGCCATGAGAGAAGAAACCATTACAACCCCTAAAAGACAAAAATTAAGCGAAAAAAAAAAAAAAAAATCAAGAACGTCAACAAATATTTCCTTAACAATCTTGACTAACTGGCAAATATCGAAAAAGAACGAAAGAAGCGTATGTGAACCAACAGGAAACACATCAGTGGCTGAGGAGCACCGGGTTGAAAGCTAAAACAGAAGTCCTAATTATTGAAACTCAGGACCACAGCCACGAAACCAAATGCTATCACTGTCATATAATCAAGGCTGGCACTAACCCGAAATGCAGGATCTGCGGAAAATATGATGAAACTGACGACTGAGCCTGTACCAATAGTAATCGGAGCTCTGGGCCTCGTGAGAAAAGGAGTGGACAATTTTATTAGCGGTGTCGTAGGTAACATCAACATACAAGTTGCCCAGAAGATCTCCCTACTAGAAACATCCCATATACTAAGAAAATTGCTATCAGTTAAATGACAATTCTACGATATGGGCCAAGGACCATAGTTTAGACCAGGCTCTACAGGATATAAACCAGGAAATATAGCATAATAATAACATAATAATAATAATAATAATAATAATAATAATAATGATAACAAAATAAAATAATAATAATAATAACAAAATAAAATAATGATAATAATAATAAAAAATAAAAATAATAATAATAATAATAATAACAAAATAATAATAATAATAATAACAAAATAAAATAATAATAATAATAATAATGATAATAACAACAACAAAGTAATAATAATAATAATAATAATAATAGTAATAATAATACGGAGATAGGACCTGTAACATTTTTATGGGACTTCACAATATACACAAACAGAACAATCAAAACTAATCACCGTGACATCGTTATTAGAGACCGCAAAAAAACCCTACTTATTGATATGGCAGTCTCTGCTGATGCTATGTATCTTTGAAGATCTTCAAAAAGCTATCAAAATACAAGGACCCTGAAATCGAAAACTCAAAAATGTGACACATGAGAATATCAACAATTCTTGTTGTAGTTGGAACCTTCAGATTGATTGGAAAATATTCCAACAGACTCACTGAAGAGATTCCTGGAAAACCCATGCCTTAAAGAAATACAAACATTTTTTCTCGCGAGTATAGCCCACACCTTACGAAGGGCCTATGTAAAATATGTGCGTATGTTTTTTGATTAAATTGCTCAGTGTAAAATACCATGATGCCATTTCTGACCTTAGGGTCGGGACCCAGAAAGGTGTACACACTAGAAATCAAAGGAAATAAAATAATAATAATCACAACTCTTGTAATTTTTTTCTTTTGAATTTCTCCAATTAAGTTGCGAAAATCTGATCAAATGACCAAATAAGAGAATTATTTTTGGAAGGGCTTCTTGGTTATACCAAGAAACTTTTTAGCACTTACTACATATATCTTATGTTTATAAACTATATAGCATTTACTTTTAACGAGAGTATGAGCATGATTAAAATTAACATTTTTGTGATGTTTTTATTTTTATTTCGTTTTTTTTTAAATAATTTCCAATCCTGTATATTTCACGAGTTTTATTCAATAAACACGTATCATGAATTAGAATCATAAGAAGAACCAACTTAGCAAGGACGAAGAGTTATCCAAATAGGACAGAGGTAATATGAAAACCAGCTCAGCCTACCCTCAGGGATAATATGAAAGCAATTTCCTATTACCGGTTACTGACTTGGAAGTCTTTATGCCGAACTACAGTAAACTTAGTGAAAATCAAGAATATTGAAAATATCGTTGTGATTAATGTTTGTAATGATGATGGCGATAGTGAATTAGTCCCATCATTGTTCGTCTGTGGTGTGACTGTTGTCATATCATTAACGGGTTTGTTACATCTCCTGAAACTGGAATTGATCTTAGCGGTCCACTGCTGTTGGGGTTGTTTAAACCACTTCAGCAAATAATCTCTTCATAACGCCACTTCATTTGCAATTCCGCCTTTTCCAGGCTTTAATTGATCGGTTGTACATCAATTTTCTTTCACGCGTCGCTGAAGCGTAAGAAAGTTCAGGGAAGGATATGGGAAGTAGAAGAAAGATATTCCCTCCCCACACCTTCAGAGAAAATAAAAATCGAAAAAATGTTTGATACATAGTCACAAAAGGAACATAAAAATGTAATAAAATATATATAAAATTATAGAAAGAAATAAAGAAAGAAAGCAGAGAGGAAAGATATAACCGAAGATTCTGGACACTAAACATTTTCTTCCTTTCCTATCCTACAAGAATTTCTTGAATAGTGTGTGTCATCATGTTGGGCCAAAATGGTAGTGGCGTTTATTTCGTGGCGAAAACAATTTCAGCGGGAAAGTATTATAAGTGCATCTCGGGGTTATTAACAACCCAAGTCATCCATCATTTGGGAGAGAGGTTGCTGTCAAGATGAAGAAAAAGACAAAGAGGAGACTTCCAAAAAGGCCGCGAAAGAGATAAAGAGTAATGAAAGTGAAGAAAACGGGATAAAGATAAAGACAAAATGAGAGTAAAAACTAGAGAGAGAGAGACAGAGACAGAGACAGAGAGAGACAGAGACAGAGGCACAGAGAGAGAGAGAGAGAGAGAGAGAGAGAGAGAGAGAGAGAGAGAGAAATAAATACACGGATGAATGGAAAGGAATTATAACACCGTTGAAAATTAAAGAGAGAAAGAGAAATATGAGAAAGAATGAAATGAAAAAAGAGAAGGATTGGTTAAGGGTCAAAAGGAGGTACAGAGGATCAGAATGGGCGGAGAAGTCAGGAGAGTATAAAATCACAAAAATCCTGACTGAACGCATGCGCAAGAGAAGTCTGGTGAAAATGAATCTGGTCGCAGCGGCAGAGGAATGAACTGGGGGAAAATAGCGCAAGAAATTTAAGATAAAATAGTGACAGGAAATAGAGGATTTGGTGGGAGAAATGGACAAGGAAGAGAAAGAAAGGGTGAGAATCTTGGACACATAAGAGAAAAGGCATTAAAGAGAATGATGTTTGGTAAAGGAAAGGGTTTGTGATGACCAACACGAATATTACATTGTGGCGCAAAAGTCGAACATTGCAGAAATATGTAAACATTGACAGGTAAAAAGAAACTCATATTCAAAATAAAAATAAATATTAAGATGTTAGAAAAATTAAGCGCGCGCATGCACGCAAACATACACACCCTCACACACATTCATGTCGAATAATTATCCATTTATTCAGTATATTATTTTCAAGTATAAACGGAAGGATGTGTTTCTGCTTGGTATTATATATATATATATATATATATATGTGTGTGTCTGTCTGTCTGCCTGTGTGTTTGTGTGTGTGTGTGTGATGATTATATATATTTTATCAGTTGTATATAAGCATATAAATAATGAGCGAGCCAGGACCATAAATATTATCTATCTATCTATCTATCTATCTATCTATCTATCTATCTATCTATCTATCTATCTATCTATCTATAATGGCAGTTTTCAATGAATATCAAGTGATCTCCAATAATCTAGCACTTTTTCTTTAATATTCTTACGCACTCTCTGAGTTGTCCTACCATATGTTGGCATTCTTTGAAGATCAAGTTAGCAACTTTCTTGCATACTCAAAATCTCGTTAATATTCTATATGGTTTTAATAATGCTATTTTCCATGTTATTGTTAGTATTATTATTATTTTATTGTTATTATTATTACCTGAATATCAAGAGGCAGACAATCTCCTTATTAATACAATCTTTGAATATTATAGCTTATCTTCCCAAAAGAAGATTTGAAAGTATTTTTTACCTCTATTGTATATCTCAGATCTTTCATGATGTCCATACGGGAGAGCCATGCTTTACCACATCTATTGCAAGAAAGGCCTTGGCAGTCGGTATAAGTCTTGAACTTCCGATGGTAGCCATTTTAATATTTTTTTTTTTTGCTTCTTTCTGCTAAGAGAAGTTGTCTGATAAATCATGCGATACCATTTTGACCTGTGTGTTTCTAAAGAATAGTGACTTTATTTGATATTGAAAAGGTCGCTGCTGCATCTCATTTATTCAAAAGTTTGGCGTTGGATGATCATAGTGAGAAAATTTAGTGGACAGCCAACTTTTCCTGGATTATCCTGTTTATCAACAAAAGTGATTTACAAGATAATCTTTTTTTTTCGAAATATTTCTCTTGGTTCTAACTTTGAGCAAATGTCATATCGGATGTGCTCTGGTTTGCTTTGAAGCCTCATTCACTGTCAGAATAATGGTCCTCTGCAATTTGAGTTACTAGTTTAGTACTATTTTTGTGAGTAAATTACCCACAATTGACAGTAAAGTGAGACTCCGATAATTTTAGTAGTCCGACTAAGCTTGAAATTCTGTGGTACTTTGATGCAATCCCCCAAATCGTAGATTTTTACATATAAAACAGAGCTGACATATTTTTATTGATTAATTCTTTTTCTCCAGTTTGATTAGCAGTTTTTGATAGAACCACTGTCGGTGTAGATCACTAAGCCATTTGTGCTATGTAGTACGTTTGGGGCCTAATAACATTAGTATTTATATCATCAACGTTTACAGAATGTCGGGCTTACTTATTGGGGTTTGTCCACCACTGGGAGAGGTGGTTATGTTGAAAGGTATTTGGAATAAATTTTTATGGTCATGATGCTTGATTTACGGTTCTCTTCTTCTACAGCCTATTTTCGATTTTTTGTCTTTTTCGTCAGATCAGTTCCAATTATACCTTTACGAGAAATCTTTGATTGGTTAAGGTTTTTTTTATGTGATCCTAGACAGATTGCGACTCTAGCCAGGATTCAAGTTTTCCTTGGAAGACTTTCGTTGTTTTGGAACTCGTTAGCGCTGATGGTTTTGCTTTGCGCTGTTTTAATTTAGAATTGGTTTCAAGCTAATGAAACTGTTGTCTGTATGCTATTCCACACTGAACATCACCCTGGTTTAGTAGAGGTCTTTTGCTCCTTTTATTGCGCAGAAATATATAGTTACTTATTATGAAGCTTACTCAGAATATTATCTCTGTTTGTAGACTTATCGAACAATACAGTGTAGTCTGTGCTATTTCAGGCTGCCTCAGTCGGAAAAGTGTATCTCACTGACGGGAGGGATCTCAATCTACTTCTTCTATGTGCTGATTTCATTCAGGATAAGGCGAACATGGCTCTCCACAACTTTCTATCTCATGTGGCTTCTAGCAGGTTTTCTCCCTTTGCTAAGCCCCTCCCCATTCCACCATTAATTCACAAAAGTACGTCAGGTAAGTGGCACGGTGCCTTTCCCTATCTCTCTTGCCATCAATAAGCTCTGTGAGGGTTTACTTTTCCTAATTATGAACCTAAGGAATTTCAGCTGTCTTTTCCTGATTTCGACTATAAGTGTTCATTATGTTGCTATTCTCTTTAATACTTCCCTTGTTGCTCCATTCATGGAATTTTCAGTATTCTGTAGAAACCCATTTCTGCTCCCTTTAGCCTTTTCTTCATCCTTAGGGAAATTGTCCAACATTCAATGTTATAATGGAGGATGGATATCATATAGCAACCAAGCATTATTTTGTATGTTTCTAACGATATTTTGCCATGTCTTAGTACCTTGCTTAGTTTTTGGAATGCTTTTTTTCCCCCGATCCGTGTTCTGATTTCGGAGTTGCATTTTTCGTCTCTTCCCAGATGTTTGAACCTCTGCACTGACTTTTGATGTTTATATCTTCAGTTAGTAACTCGCATCATGGGATTTTTCTCTTACCAATGTTCATACTTTCTGTCTTCTTACAGCTGATGGTAAACCTTTTTTTTCTGGCTTTCTTCTACCATCATGTCAAGGAAGTCCTGTAATTTACTTAGCGAGTCGGCTATCAACATGGTGTCATCTGAGTATCTTATATTTTAAAATTACGACCACCGATAATATATCCTGGTAGGCCTTCAGTTCCCTTAGCTTGCCGTCGCTGTAGAGGGTGAATAAATCTGGAGAGAAGACGTATCCTTGTCTCATGCCCCTTTCTATTTTTGTATAGTCATTCAATTTATTTTCTTTCTGTATGAAGGCGGTTTGCTCGCAGTATAAGTTCTGGATTATTCTAAGTTGATCTAAGTTTTTACAGCTTATCAAGTTCTAGTGTAATTAGAGCACAGCAGCGATTTGTTCTGGCTTCATAATTTATATAATGTATTGTTATCAAGTTTCAGCAGGCAGTTATACAGTCTTTTTACATTTACTCTAAATTGGTATTTGTTTTGGGATAAGTAAGGGACAATTTTAGGCCATTTTCTATGACATTCCCCCCCATGAAGCAATTATCGCTAGTACTTCGTCTTTCTGCACCGTGACCCCCCAAGACTTAGGCGATCATGGCTCTACACAACTTCCTGTGCTTTGTAGCTCTTAATAAATTGTTTTTTTTTATTTCTCCTGAACCCTGTTCCTCCCTCCATTTACGCAAGCTCATTAAGTATGTTATGTATTCCTTTCCTCTATCCCTCTTGCTTTCAATCTGTCGTATGAGTATCAAATTTTCCAAGTCTTTTTTCCTCATTATGTGTCCTAAAAATTTTGACTGAAGTTAAGTATAAGTGTCCTTTTTGCTTCCATATTCTCAAAAACTTGTCTAGCATTCAATGCCATACAGGAGGACAGATATCACATAACAATTTAGTACTCATTTCCTTCTTTCTAGCAATTTTTTTTCTATTTTTTGGTACTCTGCTTAGAATTTAGAATGCATCTTTGGCTATCACAATATGTCTTCGGATTCCACTGTCACACTTTCCGTTCTCTGTTAAAACACTTTCCAAATATTTAAATTTTTGTCCTAGTTTGATTCTGGTATCTCCGATTTGCAGTTCGCACTTTGGGCTCATTCTGAAAGGGTTAAATGGTTGATTAATTGACTGCTGAAAGATGCAATTATTTTCCAGGTCTACATTAAGCGGTTACTTGTTTCTGGGTTGGAACTGCAGCTTCCAGTGACATATAGAACTTGACAGCTTTGCTTAGCTTTTTTGCTGCAGGGCTTTGTAGGCAGTGGGTGGGCAAAGAAATCTTTAATCTTGCAAATTGATCTTTTTTGCAGCAGTACTGTTTGAAAATGACCAATCTCAATCTTTAAACGATGGTTTGCTTGTCATGTGGTACGATAACAGCAAGATTTCTATGTCACAGGTTTTCTTCACTTAAATAGAGTTCCAAGCTGCTTGATCAAATCTAGAAATCTAGAGAGATGCTTGTAAGCAGAGAGTATGCACTGTGAATAGTGAAGAACTTTTGTAGTTGCACGTAGAAGTTAGATGACTATTAAAGAGAAACTGTCTGAGGCATTTCATTTCGCTTTGTAATACATTTGTTGAATTCTTCGAAGATTCAAATTATTCTGTTCTCTATGATGAACTACGAAACATCAAACATGATATTGCTTACTTTCAATTCAATGAAATTAATTTACAACTGCGAGGAAATTAAATCAACCTTATCAGGATCAAATAAGTCCTCTCCATGTTTTTGTCTAAGTTAAAATTATCCAAGCGTAACAGCCAGTAGTGAACTCTCAGCTTTACTGAAGTGGAGGAGAACATACCTGATCATGGCGACTATAAACTACAGGCAAAAATAAGCTCTTTCATGAAGAATTGCCAAAAAAAATAATAGATAATGACTATTATTTTACGCCGTTTTCAAAATTAAAAAAAAATCTACATCAGTTGCTGTGGAATTTATTTAGTTATGTAATCACTTAGAAAAAAGTTGAAAGTTTTAACTTAAAACCTAGCTTTTTACTGTAAAATGCAATGTATTATTGTCAGTCT